CTGACGCCTTTCCCTGTCTCTCTAGAGATGAAGGCACCGTGAGGACTTGAAGGGAGGGGCTGGATGGGAGTGAAGGAATGAGCAGCCCCAACCCAGCATCCTATGGATTCTTATTTTCTTTCAGTATCCACTATTGACCAAGTCAACCCAGAGAGCACGAATGGATGTTGACACAATTTATTACAGTCAGACCCGGAGCAGGGTAGATGTGAAATAAATCAAGATGCAGTTTTCCCGGATAAATCCCTCGTTTTCAACTTAGACCTAGTGTCATGCTTGGTGGTCTAGGTTGTGTTCTTCCTACAGCTCTAAAGGTAGACATTTGACCATCCCCTTCTCCTCATCTAGTGTGACATTCAGAATTGAGCTTGTAACCTAAGCATGGCAGAGAATTTGACAGTGGAGGGGAGTGTAGTTGCTGTACATCTCCTTCCTTTGTGTGGTTGACAAATATGTACACCATATATGTAGCCTTCACTACTAATGACAATCCTCTAACTTTAGGAACTTTGATCATATAAAATTTACATGATATCAATGTAATCTAAATTTCTATTAGAATAGTTAAAGTTCAAAGAAAATTTGGAGTGCATTTGGAGTCAGAGACAGAAGTAAGAACAAATCATTTTTCTGATAGTTTCAGAATAGGAGCTATGGAGACTGACGTGAAAATTTTCCTCATGATAGGGTATTCTTGTTCTTTTCCTTAGGACTGTAATTAAAAATAATGGATTTTTATGAGAACAGTTACTTCTCTTGAGGTCATTAATTCCCTATAAAGCTATTTATGACTGAATATATTCAATACAATGACACTTGAGGATTAATAGAGTCAGACACTTGACATTTTATAAAACTGGTTCTTGTGCTAAGTGGAACTGGTATTATAATTTAAACTTCCAACTCTGTTTAAATACTTTTTATCTGTTAGTGGTCCATATGCCAACCTGTTGTATGATTTAACTAGCAAGCAGGCATTTATTACTGACAAATTTGTGTGAGTATTATTCATTGAGCTAGTGTTCCATTTTTAACCAGCTCATGTTTATTTTATTGGAAGGAGCAGATGACAAAATAAGAAAATTAACCCATGAGTCAGAAGATTTGACTGAAAACCTCAGCTTTACTGTGTATTGTATGATTTCTCAAGAAGATAAGACAAATAGCTGACTGTCATTTTTGTCAAGAGTTATTATATAAAACAGCTTTTTGATTACAGTTTCCATGCTCTCTGCTGTTATTTAAGTCCTTAATAAGTCCCTCTCATTGGCTAGAACACATTAAAAATTCTATGCTGTACTCACGTTCTGGATGAAACAAGTATCTTATTTCATATTACATCATTTCATCTATTACAGACACTGAGGCAGTAAATATTTGACAATCCCCAAAGCACTCTTTCTTCTATAAAGTACAATGTAACACAAATCTTGACCCTGGGGGAGAGAGGGCCTTGGGAAAGGCCATAACTGAAATGCTGGCAAAGACAGGGTTACAGCCACTCTCCTGCATTTGTCTTGGGGCCTAACATCTCTAAGGACTGGGGGAAATCATATCAGCTCACCCTATTTAATACTGAGGAGTAGAACATTTACTAATGACAAGAGGAACCATTCTATCAAGTATGTAAGATTTGGGGGGAACAAATAGGTGGGAGAACATAGGAAAACATAAGAAGGGATGCTGAAAAGCAAAAGAGAAGGGGGCAGTCACTAAAAGAGTGAGAAAAATGCAAGGACTAGTTCAGGGAAGGAGCAGCGGTCACTTAAGTTCGGGACATAATTTTCACCAAAATAAGTTTATTGTTCACATTCATGCTTATGAATTTCAAATTCAAGTTTGACTTCTCAAACAGACAGGACTTAAGATACCTATGTACGGCTTGTTATTTAGATAGAGTGGGGGACTATTTGCAGATATAAAAATGACAGTAATTTCTAAATGAGGTTGGAATTTCACCAAATAGCAAAGTCCCTTCCAATCCCAAGTGTCAGTGCTTTTGATATGTATTTAAACACTCTCCAGAGGCTACAATCCCACTTTGTACATCCAGTGGACTTTTGGGCTTATATACAAAAGGCATAAGCTCCCTCTTCCGTTTCTAGGGTATGCTGGGAGATATCACATGAACATGTGTGTAAGTTGGAAATGATATTATCAGGAGCAGTAAGAGTAGGATAATCAAATTTAAGCACTATTGCACGTAAAGATTTATAGAATAAGAGAAAGACCAGTTGTTAGTGAATCAATATGTTTTATAATGCCTATATATGTTGTAGAAACTTTAAAACATGGAATGTTGCTGTTCAGATTTATAGGTCACTGACATCTGAAGGATCTCATTCCTTGTCTAGTGTAAACTTCATCTTCTATTCTGGACATATTTCTATGAAAAGTGCCATGGAATTGAGTAAGCAGAGAGGAGGAAAAAAGGTGGATTTCCTAGTTCTGATGATGGCTGAGAAATTTGGGAGGAAGAATCAAAAATATAGGAAAGGACTGGAAACCTAAATACCGAGTGTTCTCGTGAGTGCAAACATGGAAAGAAAAATAAGGTGTGAAATCCCAACATCAGAGCATTGGGAATTGACGTACTGTGAGGCAGAGTGAGGGAAACAGCCTGACTGCAAGCACCGGATCATAAATTATGTAGATAGAATGTAATGATAATAGAAACAATAAGAAAGAATGAGTTTACCATTTTGATTTCTTGTTCATATTCTTTCATTTCCTAGAAAATTACCATTAATAAACATCCGGATTAAATGAGACTTGTGATGATGCAACTTAGGGAAATAATGACTTGGGAATTTCAAAAGGTCTAAGGAGGTTTTACAATACAGAAAGATGTCAGTTTATTGACTTGTGTGGGAGGAACTGTCCCTTGGGTGGTAAATTATCCTATAAACATCTAACTGAGCACGGATGCTTGGAAACAATAGCACAAGCTGGATTTTAACGGACAGCTCAACTTTTTCCTTCAGAGATGTTTCTCTTGATCGTAGAATCAGTGAAGAAAATATTTTTCTCATTTGATCTGTATACAAATTATGCAGTGTCAGTGTTAGATGCTGATAGAGTAATTCTGGCTCTAGTATTTTTTTATTTTGTTTTTTCTTTAATTATAAGTTTCTTACTCGATGTTTCCCTAAGTTCTGTCTATCATTTTGCTCCTTTTTCTCTTGTGCACAGAACTAGTCTCAAAACAAGTCATTAGGTTTGAAATATAATAGGAAGACATTTCTTAGTTTTTAAAATCACAGCCAGAGCTGCTTCAATGTTCCCTAAATTGTATATTTTATTTAAAGATTGTCTGTAAAAATTTATATGTAAAGTCTATTTTAACATGCAATTAGCTCTTGGGATGAAAGCAAACTGATAATAGAGTTGATTGTCAGAAAAAAACCTACAAGAGAAATTATGCAATAGGAGATAGATGAGTAAGAACAAGAGTGATGTCGTCTACTTTTTTCTTGAATTCCGTAAATGTGCCTGCATGGTGTTCTATTTTCTAAAAACAAAAATAAAAAGCTGAGCTAGAGAAAGGAATTGATTTAAATCACGCCAAGAATCATTAAAAAGGGCTAATATCAGTCCAGTACCCCTGGATAAGAAAATTTCTAATAAAATTACAAATTAAAATTTAATATAGAAATGTGTGTGTGTGTGAGTGTGTGTGTGTGTGTCTGTGTGTGTGTGTGTGTGTGTGCGTGCTTGTTTCCCGGTCTGGGTAGTTCTTGGAAAGTCGTCTATGCTTAGAGGGGATGTTGAATGGATTTGAATAGGGGAAGCAGAAGGACAGATCCCGGTTAGTACAGAGGGATAACTTACAATAACCAGCAATGAAATGAAGAAGGAACAAAGCAGAAATGTTGGGGTGGACTAAGAATCTAGAGGTAGGCCCTGAAACTTTGTTTGATTTCTTTTTTCTTTGTTTTATTAGTACCTGTTTTCTGTACATAGTGATTACATATTTTGGGGAGTCTGTCTGAGTACATAACATTTTAATTCTTTTTCTCTTCTGTCTTTCCCTCCTTCCCCATTACAGCCAACTCGTCTACCCTTCTCCATTGTCAGAAGCTTTATTTCTAATTTTTCTTCAACTCTTTTTTTCTCCTTCCTTTCCTCCTTGCCTTCCCATTGGAAAAAGAAAGTCCTCCTTTCTTCCTAATATCTGATTTTCTTTTCGTGATGCAGATCAAGGATTTATCAAACACCCTCAGCATTGGAGAGTGACTGTGAAATTGGACTGTGGTTGAACAGTGATCCCCATGGCAACCTCAAATGCCAGCAGCGCACTGTCCTCCACATTCTATCTCACAGGTATCCCTGGCTATGAAGAATTTCACCACTGGATCTCCATCCCCTTCTGTCTCCTCTACCTCGTTGGAGTGATGGGCAACTGCGGCATCCTGCACATTGTGCGGACAGAC